GGATATATCTATATATGCTCTATATGCCTATATAAATATATTTTAGATATTTCGATGCTTTGCTGCTTAATAAGCCAAATGGATGACTGCGGATTCGGCGCGGATTGGCGCGGATTTTGCGGCTTCGCCACTCTAGTGCCAACACTGTACAGTTGGAAAATGTATGTCACTGACAGCCATGAGATGGTAGGTAGTAAAGAGAAGGTCATCAATATTGACTGATGATTGTGTCTTTGCTCCTAGATCCAGGTTGTACTCATTGGTAAGGGTGGTGCACACTAGCTAGTTAAATAAGTCTTGATCCTCACTTATCTAAGATATTCAGATATTCACTTACTTTTGTCATCTTCTGTCTTAGGTTGTAAGGAAAGAGGCAGTCCATTTCCTCACACCAAAACACTCTCCAGTATCATGCAAAGACCAGAAAGCCTGATTGGTACACAACATCATGGTTCTCAAGGTACCAATGAAGGAACCCTTTGATAAGTTTCAGTGTGACATTCTTGAGCCAGTACCTGTAATCCAGTGGTTGAAGCAGTGAAGTAAACCTTAGAATTAGATTAGAAGCCAAAGAGCTATACATAGTAGCAAAGATGCACCTTTGAAAATTACATCACACAAGATGCACATTTCATTTTGTTGATTCAGTGAAGTTACTCTCCAAATGAACCTCAGGCTGTTGGATGAAGCTGTTCCAGTCTACCTGGCCTGCTGTTTTTGTTTTTGCTCTCCTGAGTCATTGGTCTGGCGGTATAATGAACTTCTTTTCAGCGATATTTATGTATGATCTGGGAGTCATAGAATTTGGCAGGGTTTCCTGGATGGAAGAAAAAAAGAGATTAAGAAAGATCATGTACGGGCAGACGGCGGCCATTTTATCTTCTACACTCATGATGTACGCGCCAGGTATAGACCTAGATATAGAACTTGGATGAATTTAGTATAGTCAAGATGCGCTGTTAAAGCGGCGACCCCAAGGTGAAAAGACCACGCACAAGTGTGTCTTTTCCGCCGTCACCCAGAGTTACTCCGTAGACAAGACAGACATTGTGATTGGATGGACGATGCCGGTATATAGCAGTTTCGGGCATGCTACATGAACTGTTTAAGCAATTCCTTGCGATGCTTTTGCAATGTGACTGAAGGATAAAACCAAACTTAACGCAGCATCGTATATCATTTCTACAACCGCACACCCGACAACACATGGCCCGATACATACATCGATACATCAAACGTATGACGTAGGGACTCAGCAAACAAGCACTCAACTCCATCCTGCACTCCATACCGAGAACTCCATATGGAGTCTCACGGAGCGGTGCGGAGTGTACCGAACCGACTCTCAATCTCCATACTCCAGACGCACGATTCCTGCTCGATGATGTAGCCACGGGGTTCGTTTCTACCCCACGAGTAGGGTTGCAGTAGTGTGAAGGCAGAGGATGGAGGGGTGTCAGCACAATTCTCCGTGTTCCGTTCTTTCTCCGGAGTTATGGCAGAACTTCGGAGGGATTGGGTTAGTCAGTGGTGTTAGTGTTTGGATGGTGCTAAAGCGGTGCAGGTGTAAGTAAGCTTTGGGCGATTCAGGGAATGTGTTATGGTTTGCCCTATGAATTTAGATTTTTTTTTTTTTTTTTTTTTTTTATATATAACTAGAGACACTGCAGTTTTTCTACTCTACTATTTTATACTCAGTACATATCAAGCACGAGTACTCTTTAGCAGCAGACTTGCACAAAATCCATACACATTTCACAAGCAATTCGGACCGACTGACATAACACCACAAGGGCTAACTAACTAACCCGGACCGACTAAACCAGACTAGTCTGATACAAAATAAAAACGGCATCCCGATCCGATGCAAATTTTCACCGCAATCCGAAACCGATGGCACTAAACCCGACAAGAACAGTCTTAACGAGAAAAAGTCACACCATACCGGACTAGTTCCGAAGGATCGGCTGGGTGAAATTTTTGCAAGGTTGGGATTTGCGGTTTAGCAAAGCTTGCTGTTCACTCTGTTATTCTGAATGTATTCGTAGAGTATGGCTTCTGTAGAGGTAGAAAATACAAGTAGATATTCGATACTGTGCAAGTGTACAAGTACAAGTACTCCGTCCACTCGATGTACTCTGTACAGCCATGGCAAGAGTGTAAATATCCTGAAGATAAGAAACCGAAACAGCATGATCAGCACCGGTGAGCACAAACGGCAGAGTTTAACCAACTCGGCACACCGACGGCCTCCCGATCCCGAGCAGTCTCCGATTCCGCCCAGTCCTCCCAGGGGCACACTCGTCCGTTATCAGGGATGTCGTGCTTTTCTGATAACTTCAACATGTGTAGATATAAAAGACATTCCTCGTCTCTCAGGTTTACTAGATTTCTCTCTTTTTGCCTCTTTTCCGGCCTTTTTCATGCTATCCGGACAGTACAAAGTGCGTCGGCTCGATAGGCAATGCTCGGCAATGCCGAGAAACGGATCAACTAGAATAATAAGCTAGAAAACCGGCACCGGTCGGATCCCGACCATATGTGCGGTATTAGTATCCATACGGCAGGCGAAATGGAAGTGAGTCTCGGCACGAATGCCTCGCCCAGTAAGCGACTGGTGATGATTCCATTAAGAATGCAGAAAGGGGATCGGTGGGGCTTTTGCTTCTTTTTCTCTCATAGTACAGAGTACTCTGCCTACACAGAGAATACGAAATAAAGAACTCGTTCATGCTTGGTTTACATTGGCTTGCATTCCGGTGTTTTGGATGCCCCTTGCGGTGTCTGATTATGTATTGAGACTTTTACTGGGGCAATGTTTGTTTACTCGTAAATACGGAAGGCCCAAACCAAAACCATGAGCTTCTAGAATGCCGGTGTCACGGGAGAAACAATATCAGCGGTTAGTTCACGATATTGGATGTGGAGCGTGCCGTCACGCGATTATAAATACTCCGTAGCTGTCACTACTCCGGATTATGTATGTACAGTATGGACGGTGTGTCGAAGTCATGAAGAGATTCAACTGAGGCAAAAGAAAGCGAGTCGGCATGATCCGTATATTTGTACGGCATGCCGGTCGGTACAGTAAACATAAAACATCTCATACTCATGCCCGAAGCGTAATAACGAGAGAAAAAGTAGTCCTAACCCATCTCCGGTTCTCCACGGCTCTCTCCACCATTAGTGTGGTTTTTCCCCGAGTTCTCCCACTACTTGCCCACATTTTACCCTCCACTCGTTTCTCCATACGGCGGAGATGAAGCCAATCCGACATTTTCCCCGACTAGACTACCAACTCGGGTATCCATTTCTGTATGTCTCTCGCTTCGGGCCAATGACGGCCTCCCGAGTCAAGCCTCAGCGCCTTGCATGAGGTAGGAAACGTCTCCAACCGGTGCCAGATGGTTCCCTCCCTCTTTTTTCCCCGTGCGTCTTTCCTGTGACCAGTGACCATGGCATTCCCCCCCGGAGAGACCCCGATATCCACAATTTCCCTTCTTCTTCTTTCTTTCTTTCTTTTTTTTTTTTTTTTCCTTCTATTTTTTCCCGTTTTGTAGTTCTCTTGGCAGGTCCCGGTTGCCGATGGGGAGGGAGATGAGGTTGTTTGGATTGCGGGACAATATAAGAATGTCCCCGGTTCCTCCTTTCCTTTGACTTTTTCTCTCCTCTCCTCTATCCCTCTCTTCTTTTTTTTTTTGTTTGTCTCTTTATACTCTGGGGTAGATAGACACAATGGGTGTTCCCAAGTTCCTATCCAAGCTGCAGCCCTCGGCTCAGGACAACTCCCAGTCCTCCACCCCGGCTCGGTCAGACTCCAATGCCGAGAAGGATACTGGCATCATCGATGACAGCCCTGTCAAGTATCTGACATGGCGGTCCTTCATGCTGGGTATCTGTGTGTCCATGGGTGGTTTCATCTTCGGTTACTCTACTGGTAAGCCCTACCTTCCTGCCCTTGGCTTCATGCCTTTGTGTTAACTGACAGGACAGGTCAAATCTCCGGTTTCACTACTATGAACGACTTCAAGCAACGGTTTGGTGAGGACATGGGTAATGGGGAAATGGGTTTCAGTAACGTCCGGAATGGTTTGATTGTCGGTTTGGTATGTACCCTACTTACCAAGAAGGGTTGAGAAGAATTATACTAACGTATGAAGCTCTCCATTGGTACCATGGTTGGAGCCCTAGTCGCCGCCCCCATCGCAGACCGTCTCGGCCGCAAATACTCCATCTCCTTCTGGGCCCTCATCCACATGGTCGGCATCATCGTTCAAATCGCCACAGACACCAAGTGGTACCAGATCGCCGTGGGCCGTCTCGTCGCCGGTCTGGGTGTCGGTGCTCTCTCGTCCATCGTCCCCATGTACCAGTCCGAGTCTGCACCCCGTCAGGTCCGTGGTGCCATGGTCAGTGCCTTCCAGCTGTTCGTCGCCTTTGGTATCTTCATCTCCTACATTGTCAACTACGGCACCCACAACATCGCCTCGACTGCTTCGTGGCGTATCACCATGGGTGTTGGCTTTGCCTGGCCTCTCATCCTGGGTATTGGTACCCTGTTCCTGCCCGAGTCGCCTCGTTTCGCCTACGGCCGTGGCCGCTTCGAAGAAGCCCGCCAGGTTATGTGCAAGCTGTACGGTGTCCCCTCGAACCACCGCTGCATCGCCCAGGAGATGCAAGACATGAAGGACAAGTTCGACGAGGAGCAGAGAGCCGGCAAGGCCCCGTGGCACGAGATCTTCACTGGTCCTCGCATGTTGCACCGTACCATCCTTGGTATCGTGCTCCAGTCTCTGCAGCAGATGACCGGTGCCAACTTCATCTTCTACTTCGGTAACAGTATCTTCGGGACTATCGGTCTGGACAGCTACATCACCCAGATTATTCTTGGTGCGGTTAACTTTGGTATGACCTTCCCTGGTCTGTACATTGTTGAGCACATGGGTCGTCGTAACTCGCTCATCCTTGGTGGTGCTTGGATGTTTGTCTGTTTCATGATCTGGGCTTCGGTTGGTCACTACCAACTTGGTGTTAGCGACTCGGCTGGTAATGTTATGATTGCCTTTACCTGTCTTTTCATTGTCGGTATGTTTTTCCCCCGGTTTCCCCTTTGCTTCCATCTTCCCGCCACTTTTCCACCCCCTTGTCCACCCGCCCGCCCCAACACAACCCCCACCACAAAACACAACAATTAGTCCCCAACTAACTCATAATTTTTCAGGATATGCCACTACATGGGGTCCCATTGTGTGGGCTATCTGCGGTGAGCTCTACCCAGCCCGCTACCGCGCCGTCTGCATCGGAATTGCAACCGCCTCCAACTGGACCTGGAACTTCCTCATCTCCTTCTTCACGCCCTTCATCTCCGGTGCCATCGACTACGCCTATGGCTACGTCTTCGCCGGCTGCTGCTTCGTCGGCATCTTCGTCGTGTACTTCTTCGTCAACGAGACCCAGGGCCGCACCCTCGAGGAAGTCGACACCATGTACGTGCTGCACGTCAAGCCCTGGAAGAGCGCTTCCTGGGTGCCCCCGGAGGGCATTGTGCATGATATTCACCCCCATGGTGATGAGAATGACAAGAGGGGTGAGGAGCAGCGGGAGGAGGCTGAGCCGATTGAGATTAGGGAGTAGATTTTCTGATTCTTTTCCCGGGTGTTTTCGTTTTATTCAATGGGTTGTTATGCATATACGCGTATGAGTATGGGCTATGATGGCCATTGTCATGGTTTTGATCTTTTCTTTTTCCTTATATATATATATATATCATCTTTCGAGATGTTGCAAATGATGGCGTTAGGTTAGGTTACCAGTCATAATTCGAATGTATACTATTTTCTACTCAAGTGTTCAATAGTCTATGCTATGATATAGCTATGTTACAAGTATTAAAACAAGTTTCAAGGACGTATTTAAGACCAAGTGTCCAAATCGTCAGTTTGATTAACTCCGAGCACCCTGAATCCCCAGCCTTACTGCGGGCAAAAGGCGACCAAACGCTTGCTGAAAATAATCCAGGTCTTTTTCTCCATTTTTCTTCTACCCATTCTGTTCTTTGGCTTTTCTACTGGCCTGTTCATATTCTCTGGTAGACAACCGGTACAATCAGTATCACTGTCGTCCGAGTACTCATGATGCACTCGGAGATACCGCCGAACTAAGTTCGTTCATTATTATTGCGGTAATCTCGACCAGACGATCCACTCTGGGCCAGTACGGCTTTTCCCTTTGCGGGACATGGGAATTGGGGTCGGCAAATTGCAGTAGATTGCATCTCGGTGCCGGAGCAGATCTTCATTGGCATAGTAGATGGTTGGACCGTCACATTGCCCACATGGACAGGGGCAGAATGCATGTTGGCTTTGAACATGCTATTTCCAATTATCAATACGCTTCACTTCGAGATCTGGCACATTTCCCTTTATTGACAGGCAGGATAGGGTGTCCTGCAAATTGAAGATTGCACCAGTAAAACCACCCACCACCGACACGGTTGGTCGAAATAATGCTCGGCCGCAAGCGCAGTAGTCATTATGGTCGCCATAATGCTTGTTCTCTTCAGCATTGAAACTTCGACCTCGGATTTGATCTGGTATTGCTTGTATGAGCAGGCCAAACACATAAGACCATTTGGGGCCCTTTCAGATGCGGTAATGAAGTTAGACTTCGGGCAAGTATAAGAATTACCTGAATTCGGGGCTTTCCAGCACTGTCACCGCATGAGCGATTGTGAGGGAACTCCTGAGGTATGCGTCTCCGAAATGGTAAAACTTCCTCTCCCGCCATTGCATCACAAGTAATTTGCAAATGTGCAACGCAGTTTAGCGTTTTGCTTGTCCGGACCTGGACCGTCCATGTAGTCGTCTATTTCACCGCCATGACACTTCTGGGTACTGAATGCGCTTGAGGCAGATTTTGGTGCCAACTTATCGTGGAAAGCGAGTTGGTCTGTGGAGCACCGATGTAATGTCGTGGAGTTTGTTCCGCACCTGGCCAGCAGGCGAGGGAATCCGAAGACGCACCCCAGGCACCTGGACTTCCACACGACCGGATGGGACGGGAACACGGGTACCACAAATAGCCTTCCGTCTCATGTGCATGTCAACACTCCTTCGCCATGGTGACCACCCGGATCTTGGCCATCTCCGTACCATGGTGGCGAGCCAGATGAGCACGGTACAACAACCGGCGCAGCTGCTCATTACTCTTCTCCGGCGTCTAAAAGAAGTCTGTTAGCAAGAACGCACATACCTCAAAATGGATCAAATCACATACAGCAACACACGACCACAGGCAAGGGCGTGCTCTACAGAGCGAGTAAGGGTCACAACGAAGGCACTTATCCGCTCATCATACTTGTTAGGGCAACCGAGCGCTTTCTAAGTGCAACTTAGGTAATTTTCGTATACTTCCCTCTCCCTTTTGCCTGACTAGTCTTTGACCTGACCGACCACGGTACAATCTGTGGCGCTTTGTCGTGCGAGCACTATGTTTGAGTCGGAGAGGTCTGCCATCCTTATGGCGATTTTGAACCAGGGTCTGACTTCGGGCAAGTATGAAAGTTGTCTTCCTTTAATTGAATGAAGACTAGGGCTTGCTTTATCGAGGCTCTCTCTCTGGCGAGAGCATTGCGATTTCATTAGCCTCCAAATCAGCCCACGCTGTTCAGGACATGAATATGTACAGTCCTGTATCGTCTCTAGCACTTGTCATAAATTGAATATCTGTAGCTCAGATTTAACTGAAGACCCGTACCCCGATGAGTGATACTGGCCAGAGCCAGCACGGCCCTGTCTCTTAGCCTCGATAATGCTCAGGTTGGTCCTCAGACGCTCGCCGGGGAAGAAGGCTCCAAACTAGGAAGGATGAAAATAATTTGCCGCAGATCTTATGTAACGAATCGAGGACTATGCTATCGATGACCGCTTGAAAACTATTGATATAGTTCTCAACCGTAACATTCAAATAATGGGGCACATTCTCAACTTTCAGCTCTGTTGATAGTTCTACTGACTGGCTTGTGGAGCCAAGCTTCTGGTTGTCAACTTGGATGTTGTCCTCTCCATCAAAAATACTATCATGAGCGTTGACGGAGAGCACTGCACTGTCCCTCTTGCCAGAGGGATATCCTTTGGTGCTGTCGGGGGGTTAATGGGGCGTGACTTCAGAGGTGGGAAGACTGTGTGCATTCCTATTCCTTCCGGAGTTGTGTATGTTATTGGCAACTGTGTGGTGTAGATTGATGTTGGCTTTATTGAGTCCTTTATGATCCACGTACTCATCACTGTCCTTGCAGCACCGCTTCTGGGGGAGAAATGAGGTGTCCGCAAACTCCGGCCCAGCTTATCGTGGAACCCGGCGCTGGCCCGCATGTTGAAAATATTTGCCTGGGAGTCGCCGGTGTAGTCCCATGTAACGCCCTTGGCGGTAGTGGTGCCGGTGTTGCCCGCGGCAACGCCGGCGGATTTTTAGGAGACCCCTGGGAGGGTGGGTGAGATGCGCAATGTCACGCATTGCGCCTCTGCGGATGGCATGGGTCAAAATCTTTGTAAGGATGTCAGCGGCCAGGCCAACGACCTTGATGGCCATGTCGAGTGACCCAGCACCAACAGGGCGTGTGCATAGGGGCTAACCGCGATCCTTGGGGAGCTGGCATATGATTTTCCCAGGTACCTTCCATTAAATCTGGAAATCCCAGCATCTGGCGGCCTGGGCCAGGACTGTCGTGAGTGAAGCGTCATGGGTCTGACCCAGGCGTAACGCCCAAACCAACAGCAGCTTCACCACACACATTGGGTTGTGCTGTGGATTTCCAAGGGGCTCAACAAACACCACACGGTACTGGTTCGCCAGATCTGTTAACAAAAATATCAATTGGATCTTTTTTGGGGGAGGGACGCGGACTTCTGTTTCTCAAATCGCAAGGTAATTAACGCCTATCTGTTGCACGTCGTCACGCAAGTCTCTGAATATTAGATGCGTTGAGATTAGGCCGGCCTCAATCCCAGCCTTTTTTAGGGCCGCCCGCTTCGCCTTCACAAAACACTTTCGCTCCTCGTTCCCCAATTTTTATTGTCTTGATACCAAATGGTATGATCTAAGTGACTTATAATGAGGGACAGCTCATCCCTGTGCTTTTCTTTAACCTTGGTCATGGGCTCTGCCTGCCAACTGACCTTGTTAGCATTCAGTTTAAGATTGGGTGAAGAATTGCGCTCTCGCATTAATGGCTCATTCTCGTTTCCCTGGCAAGAATCGAGCACAATATTTGAAATTAGTTAGACGCATATGTTGCTATAATGTGAGAAAAGCCTTTTTCTCTCGGAATTCTGAGTGGTTTGGTTCCAAGAATCTCATGCAAGAAGAAAAGCGTTTTCGTTATTGTCCTTGTCTTTGTGATGAGGCTTGGTTCCGTGTGACCACCGTATGGGGAATTCCTGTCAATTCCTTCAAAGCCCAATCAGCGTATAGTCCATTAACCTGTACTCGCCAGACGATCGTCTATCTACTTGACGGGCACGGTTTCGGTGACTTGCACTTACTGGACGAAGGGTTTTCCTGACCACATCCCTCGTAAGACTGGCATTTATCATGCCCCTTGTCAAACGTGCAGATATGTTTCGGACACTTTTGCAAATGGCGAATGCATCGCTGGCACCAATCTCCTCATAACGTCTCAGGAAGCTGGGACCCAACACTTTATCTGTCCAAAGCTCCTGCCAAATCTTAAAGTAGTCGAGGCCATAGGTTCGAGGAATCTTGCTCAACAAGGACCAACAGAATCAAAGGAACCACCATGCCAGATTTTATGACCTCTTCGTATTCGAGATCAATTTACTCCAGCCTGACCCGATTATGAGTGTGAGATGTCGAAAGCCTGTACGCGTCTGGCAATCTCACCGAACTATAACATTCCAAAAACCCAGTGTGTGGCATAAAAGGTCAGGGCCAACCGTTTCAATGGGGTAGCTGGGAATAGAGCTCGCCATAATATCCAAGAAAGACGTGTCGGGGAGCGGACTGACGCGTAGCCCATTAAACCAAGACATTGGTCATCTCCAAATATGCCATATCGATGCTATTGCGGCCTACCAAAGTGCATGCGATGCATGCAGTCCGACAATATGAGAAAGATTTCGGTTGGTAGGTGGTCTGGCTTCTTGAAAAAGAGGCAATTTAATATCGGGCCGAGCATCGATAACATTTTACTTGTAGTGTTGGTACGATAGTCTCTCGCTTCCTGGACTTGTATCTGACCCACTGGCTTGGTTGTCACCGGGCATGCGCAATGCCTCTCCTCGCATGCTGTTGCGGTGTTCGAACCAACAGTCTTTGTCAGGTAGGCGCTTGCCTAGCAGCCATCATTTGCAGTCCGGTGCTTTTATAGTACCGCCGGACATCTGGGTCAATCTGCTCCAATGGATGGCAATTGGGAGCGATGATGTAGGAAGGGGGTAGGATGAAGTCTCTAACAACATCAACATACCACCTGTATATCACCTCGACCGGCCAATCTCGTTCGCTCCGATGATGCATGCAGCCTGTAGGAAGATGGCGAGGGCGTAAAAGACAGTGCGGTCCCATGACCGGCACCCCCACTGGTCCATCATGCGGGCCAGAACCTCAAGCCCCGCGCGCTGGCGGACCCAGATTCCCTTTGTTTCGCGTTACTAATTGGCGAGATTCCCAGGTATGCCCTGATCAGGCCCTGCTCGTGTTTTCTGTACACAGAGTCCCAGAAATGGGGATGCCTTCCCCCAAGAGGCCCAAGAAGGAAGAAGAGGGTCTTCTGGGCTGTTCGAAGGGGTCACTGTACTGTATTCTTGTCCTTTTGATGAGGTTTAGTTCATCGGACATTTGTGTCCAGAAACCCGCTGTGTTCGACATCGGGGCAAGTCTTCATCACACTATGCAATCACCAGTCAGAGCCGGACAGAAGCAGGGAACAATCCCACCCCCTGCCCATCCCAAGCCCCCCCACCACGCATCCCAATGTCCACAGACAAGGACATGTGCCTTGCATATTATCTCAAGGCCAGTCTCAATGTTTCATCGCTGTAAGGTTTGCTCGCAATTCGATCCTCCGCCTGGTGCTCTAGTATGCCCTCGATAAAGTTGCTTCCAAATCTCGAGCCACGTGTGGTGGTGGAGGCGAGATCCTCCTCCTGAGTCTGATGGATTGAGCGGCTAGGCGGTCAATGATAGGTTTGGTGGTTACAGGGACTGAGCTGTTAGTCGTTAGACCGCAATATGTGCTATATCGATGCTATAGGATGGAGTGTCTAATAGAGGGGAGAAATTGAGAATAGGATTGGATGGAAAGAATGAGAGAGTACTAGAGAGAAAGAAGAAAAGAGAAAACCCTGACTCCGGTATGAAAGTAGCTTTAGGGAAATTCACTCTTGACAGTTCCTATTGATAAAACGCAACTAGTTGACTAGAATTCACTCCCATGCATCTTACGAATTGTATACTGCCATGATGGCATCGGGTTGTATTATAATCCATATATACTATTTCACTCCAAAATCGCCCTGTGCAGCTGGTATAGTGATAGCTATATTACATTATCCAAAACCAGTAAGTATCTATCTATTCCTTATCCGCCTTGTTCTCAGAATGCGCCTGTACACCCTCCGCAGTACCCTTACTAACATTAAGATTATCCTCCACCGAAACACCCGGTGCAGCACCAGGCGCAGCGCTAACATGCGCCTTATGATTCCTCGTCTTCCCCGGCCCGAGCTCATCGTCACTATTCGCCAGACTCACATCCTGACTTTCGTCCGTCTGTTTTCTCATTCCTAGCTCCTTTTCTAGATCATGGAAGGAATGTAGTGTGGTCGACGCAGCTGATGCAGCTGCAGTGCTAGCACCAGTGATTAATGGGTGTTCTGTCTGGATAGTTAGGCCCTTGGAAACTGGCTCGTGGTGGGGGTCTGTTGCTTCTGCGATACGCTCGCGCGGGACGACGTTTTCTTTATCCAGATCCTGTTCGTGTTCATGTTCGCGGAGTGGCCCGTCGCTGGGATCGCGATGCTGGCCGCGCCAGTCCGCTGGCTCGGCTTCGGGGATTGGTTCGCCGGGTTTGGGCTCGGTGACTGTTTGGCCTACTGCCACTGGGGCGGCGACGTCGGTTCCCTTTTTGTCTTTTTGGAGGCCCAGTTCGGAGGGGGGTAGGTAGCGCCAGACCACCTTCAAGCGGTCGAGGGCTCTTACGCCCTTCTTTGTTGTGCCCTTGATTCCGTCTAGGGCCTCCCAGTCGGCCTCGAAGACGTTGGAAGCGTGTTGGTCGCCGCCTTCGAAGTAGGCGTTGAACCAAATGTGAGCGATAGATGTGACCATGGCCCAGCCGGTGTAGGCGGCTTTGCTGCGTCGTTCGAAGTCGATGTTCACGTCGGAGCTGGGGAGGATGACGGGTTTGCTGGGGCGGAGGAGGATGGCATTGATGCGTTTGGTAGACGTCGAGTTGCCGGATTGACTGGTGACGGTAGACTCTGTAGAGGGCGCAAACAATGACCTGGAAGACGTGCCTGACACAGCCGACAGAGGTTCTTGGGAGTCGTTCTTCTTATTGCCATTCTCCCCATCCTTCCCGCCATACAGCGTCTTCCCATCGTCGACGACCGTCTTTTCACTGCGATGAAAGAGGTGATAGCACTTGATCTGCTTCCCCTCCTCGACAAAACCCTCAATCGCGACCTTGACCCCATCCCTCAATCCCCAGACATGTATCTCGAGAATCTCCACCGGCCGCTCAACATACTTCTTATTCATCGACTTCGCCCACCGATCCACATATCCCACCCACCGCAGCTGACTGGGAATACTAACCCCGGGCCCAAACCCACTCCGCATGCGCCGTTCCGTAAACCGCTGAAGCGCATCCTCAAGTTTCCACCCCTGCTCGCTGATCAAATAACTGCACGCGACAGTCCCACTGCGTCCTTTACCAGCCTTGCAATGCACGACAGCCACCCTCTTCGCTTTATCCGACGATTTCCCATCCTCGTCTAAATCTTTCGAATCGTTATCGTCCAGCCTCTGCACCCAGTTCCGCATACTGGCCATCATGGCGGGGATAAGCGCAAACGGCGGGGGGTGGTGGTCCGGCCAGGGGAAATGGTGGATTCGTCCATACACCTCCGAGTCGGGGTATCCAGTGCCCTCCGCGCGAAACTCCCATATACACCACTCGGGGCCATGTTTCGAGTCGAGGAAATGAACCAGGGCGTCGAGGGGATTGCGGTACGCTCGTTTGGGGAAATTCAGGGAGGGGCCCGATGTTGCGATGACTGCATCGTTAACTATATACTCTTATCCCGTAAGTCCAGAGTAGAGACGTACTATCATCCGTAACATAACAAAGATCCAACCCAGCCTCGGGATGTTGCAATCGCGGACCGGCCACGATTTGTCGCAGGATCGACGCCTAAACCCGCCAAGCAACAGGTCAGCGAAACAGGGGGCAAGAATGGAGAAAACGAGGATTCTGACGTACCATGCTGCAGAACCCTGCCACTTGAAAAACTCCTATTAAGATCGAGGAATGGAGTTGCACAAAACCTGCAAGTTTGCGTGAGTCCAATTGGTGTTTTGTTGCAGCTGCAGGGCACGGTGTGGGAGGGGATGACGGCGCACATACCATTTCAATAGTTTAAGCCTAGCAGAAAGGGGTTGTGTGGTAATATATAATTACTAGTTGTAGGTATAGGATCACAGCCACGGATGGCAAAAGAAATCCAGCTGAAGATGGAGAAATGGAGGTTGTGTTGGCGGGATGATGTCACCGCCAGCATTTAGTTTTAATATTCAAAAGTATCATCCAGAGACATAATGAGAGACATGAAAATAACCACAGGCATATATCCAGACATTAAGCAAATACATCCCGACCATAAACTGTACAGCAATCAAAAAAGAACCCGATTCCCTATTTAGGCAACACCATACTGCTCATCAGCAGTAATATGAAACCGCTTCGCCGGAGCAGTAGCATTCGCACTCCCAACAGCCCAGAACTGCGCCTCGCCCTTGACCCAGGTATGCTGAACCTGGACGTCCCAACGCGACGACTTGGCAGGGTCAACAATGGCCGAGATCTGCTCGTTGCCGCAAGGCTGGTAGTCCTCCTTGCTCGTGGTGCCGGTGCAGGTGGTGTTGAAGCCGGGGGTGTTGGGGGTGCCCAGGCCGGCGATGTGGAAGTTGTAGGTGCAGTCGCCCGAGGTGCAGTGGGTGTTGAAGTTGGTGACGTTCCAGTTCAGGGCTGGGCTGGGCTTGCTCTTGGAGAGGGTTTTGAAGGTGCCGGCCAGGGAGACGGAGGAGAGGAGGGCGGTGGTGAGGATGGTGGTGAGCTGCATTTTGGTAGACTTTGTATATGTACAGATGCACAAATTTTATACAGAATTAGATATTAGAAATGAGAAGGATAGTTTTGAATGAAAGATGAAGAATAGGAGAAAAAGAAGCCTTATAAGGAACCTGCCAAGAAATCAGCTCTCCTGAATTTACTCTTTCGGGACAGTCGTTGATCTTTTGTTCCTTGACTATCTTTTACTCTGCTATATTATGGTGTGCTCTGGTCTGTGTTCTGCTATTGATACTAGGCTAGGCTATGCTTTGATCTGAATATCGCTCACTGTCCATGCTCAGTTTTGAGCTCAAACATCCCCCGGAATCGTCTGTTCTTCCCCCAAACCCCGTCGATGATCGTAATTTCGGTTATTTATAGCGATGAAGTCAGTTTCGTCAGAACCATACTCTCTAACTCTGTCGAGTACGAAGTAGGCAATTGCTTTCAATTCAAGACTGTGCAATTGATGCCGTTAAATGCAGGCAATGAAATTCTCCGAGTGTCAATGCAGCAATTGCACTGTCTACAGAATACCCCGAGACTACCAAAGTACATCGTACTATGCACACCGTACTCGTTCAAACCTGTTTAACCACGGATAACCAAGGAATCCTGCATCAATTAATTAACCTCAAACATGCCAAAAAAAAAAAAAAAAAAAAAAAAAATAGCCCAAAAATGGTAAATCCGGTCATGCATGTCTCGTCCCTGAGATCGCGACGAGTCAATTGTTTTGCACGTCTCGTTCCTGAATCGACGACTCGGTGTTGTACAGTACAGAGTGGACGGATCACTTGCGAGTCGAAGAGTCATAGTACTCCGTAGTATGGTGAACCGGATCCACCGAATAATTATGCAACAAGCTCGGGTTCCCGACTGGGTCTGGCTATTCTTAGTTCCGAGTCGGGCGCTTTCCGTTGGAGATTCAGGTACGGAATAGTCCAGACAATAGTATGGATGTGTCTTAGGCAGTATCGTACGGTTACACGGTGTATAGAGTATAGTACATCAAACCTTGACCTCTGGCTCTAACCCCCCGGCCTCATGTTCCATCCACCCCTCGTCTGCTTTCCCCCGAGCAATCGCCATCCGTCGCCTCTTCGCCTTTCTTCGCGCCTTAGTGACAGCCCGGCGCTCGTCTTTCGACAAGTTTGGAATAATCCAGCTCTCCTTGGGAGCCTGGACATATCGCGCAGGCGGCGATGAGGGCTTCTTGATCCGATCTTTCGGTACCAATGTATCCCCCGGTTCCTTGGTGCGGACTAGATCCCCACGGATGTTGGGGTGGTACTTCAACTGGACGGCGAACTTGTCGCTGGCCCCGGTACACTGGTCGCGGATTTCGGTTTTTGCTTCTTCGTCTGGTGTGAAGCCGCGCTCGAGCATGTCTTGGAAGTAGAGATAGGCGGACTCGTAGTTGCCTGCGTCAAGACACATGAGGATGAGGCTTTCAAAGGTCGTCGCGTTGGGAACCACTCCGAGAGAGGCCATTTCCTTCACGACGAACATGGCTGCTTCGCGGTTCTGTGCGTGGCGGCACATGCTGACGAGGGTGTTGTAGATAGCAACGTCGGCTCCCCCAGGGCATAATGTGTACAGGTCTTTGTACAGTTCCACCCCCTCGTCCACCGCAAACGGGTCGTCCTGTGCTTCATGGTCGCACAGCTCGATGACAACCCGGGCGCACTCGGGCGGGATATCATGCTTCGATGCTTTCAACCGCTTGAGCATTTCCCATGCGTCGCGCGGCCGAATTTTCGTCTGAATCATATATGTACGGACGGAACGCGTGGTGTTCTCTGCCAGGACCATGCCAGCTTTGCGCATCGAGCACATGACTCCAAACGCCAACATCAGGCTACCGGCTGTGGTATGAGTCTCCACCAAATTCTCGTAATCCTTCTGCTCAAGTTTGACCCCAGAGTCTGCCAGGAACCCAACAACCGACGCTGCCAAGTCGGCGTCTCCCGCACGAGATGCCATAGTCAGGACCTTAATACAGATCTCACGAGACGGTTGAAGGTATCCCAACTGTACCATTTGGGCCCAGACGAAGCGAGTAGCCTCCTCATGCTGAGCCGTACTCGCGACGTCCAGCACATGCCGCCACAGTTCCAACGACATATCATGGCCCTGGTTAACTCGAGACTGCATCAACCGAGCTACCTCGTCAAACTCTTCGAATTCGCAGAGGTTATAGATGAGCAAGCCATGTAGCCAATCCTGAACCACGATATCCTTCCTTTCCATATGCGCAATATGATCCAGTGCCAACTCAAACTGGTTCTCCCGTAGAAGACCAGCCACAACCCAATGCCATCCGGTGGGACTCAAGGGGAGCCATCTATCGCGCAACGTCCGTAAGATGTCCTGGCGAAGGAGGTAATCGGGATGAACGGCAAGTACCTAGAAACCAGTGTCAACAATGCCCAAATTCGTACGGCAATTGAATCTCATACCTGCAGCGTAGCATGCAGCGTCCCCGAATCCGCCGGAATACCATTCTTCTCCATCTCCTTAAGTAACCCACGCAGCACATCCGGCGACCCGCGCTCCGGGTCCGCATTCGCCAGAATCAACGCTCGATAATGGCGCACCCCCGGCCGAACATGGCGCATCCTAACCAACGTATGTAGTATTTGCATCGTGCTATGAACCCGGGGCCCGCGAGGTGATAATTCCTTCAGTTTCGACTCGAGATTCGCCGTAGATTGCCCCGCGAGGTTTTCTGGTACCCCGATGAAATGGTCTGGGTGTGTTTCGGTCTTCGACGGTGCGCACTGCTCGTTATAGGAATTCCGTTGCTCAGTCGAAGAATCCGTAGTTGAGACATTATCCGGTGCTGTTTTTGTGCCATTAGACCTATTGTCAGCACCGGCCGGGTTGCTGGTGCCATAACATCTTCGCGGTAGAGGGGTCCGAGTGGGCAGTCTGCCACTTTGTAGATCTCGCTTTCCCTTGATAAGAGAAACTCCAGGACGTTGCAAAGTCGCGTTGAATGATGGACAGAGGCAATACCAAAGCCCATCAAGTATAAGCTTCCTTTGCGGCATCAGGAGCTGTTGGGGATATCAATCTTGACTTTGGAATTTCCGGGGAAGTTCTATCAATATCTACGATCACGTGATTCTACAACCACCAGAGTAAAAACAAGCACCAAATGCCTCCAAGAGATTATTTGCCAATCATGTCAGATGCAATGCCACAGACAGTTCCCATTAAGATAATACAGAGCCATATACGCCAAGGCCATGCTCGACTTCAATCCCACCAGATGGACTTTCCTAGCAAAAATTCATTCACAACCATCTCTTTCTCTCCCCGGGGTATCTTTCATATCCATTTCTTCTGCAAAAAAAAAAAAAAAAAAAAACATAAGGAAAAAAGAAGGAAAATACGGTGATATTCCACTCCTTAGTTTCCACCTCGCCCTCTGCCCCGACCGCGTCCACGGCCCCCACGACCCCGGTCTCGTCCATCACCTCTGTAGCCACCCCGACCGCGACCCGAGTCGCGAGCGTGTTGCTGCTCCTTGACGATGTCGATGATTTCTTCGGGGATCCGTAGGTATTTGATCTAGTAGAGTGAAGCTGTTAGCGGGGCTCGTTGCCAAACAAACAAACAGCAGCCAGCCAGATGGAGAATCCAGCCTGTAGCCATCAGATGCAGAATAGGGCAAACGTACATTGTTTCCCCTCACGTAGACCTCTGGTAACTTGAAGAAGCGGTCACCCTCGGGACTTGTTTGCACAACCTCCTTCAGCACCAGGTTCATCCAGTTATCGCAGTTGGAGAGGTGGCCGTTAAGAGTCTCGCCGTTCTTGAGCTCGACAAGCATCGGGTGGCCTTGCGCGGCCGTTAGAATGCCCAATGGTAACTGTATGGCATTGTATGTTAGCACTTTGAAGCGGTGGGTTGAAGGAGTGGGTTGGGATGCTGAGCGCGTACCATTGTGAGATATGAAGCTGTGATGAGGTCGCGATAGAAAGACTAGGAATATAGATAGATGCCTCGACCCGCGCAAAAGATAAATCGAGGTGATCAAGTGAAATGAGCTTGGGAAGCCTGGATTTGCAGCGCTGAATGGCGATGATGACAGCTCCGCGGTGACTTTCGCCTGGAGAAATTCGGAAAAAGAAATGGCCCGAGATAGGCTTTATCGCCCAATGTAGCGCACCATATTCAGTCTTTGCCAGCACAAGTCCTACGAATTGGTCAACAGTTTACAATTGGACAATTGAATAACACATTCAGTGCTCATAGTAAATTACACAGGCCTCGCTTGATTAAGAAATATTACACCCAACACCGCAGCGCAACTCTATATCTTGGGCCGCTTAGCAGCATCTCCCTCGTCTTCTTCTTCGCCCTCGTCGTCATCCTCCACAGTGTATTTCCGCTTAACACGCTGGTCCCTGCCGAGGGTACCGCTGGGGTTCTCGTTGGCTCCATCCAAGATGGCAGTAGACTTCGCCTCAGAAATTTCTGCGGCTTCTTCTTCCCTAACCTTCAGAGTGTCTTCGCGCTCCTTGAATCCCTTGAGCAGAACCTCGTAGCCCTCTTCGACATTGGTAACGGTCTCTTCGAGCTTCTGGATGCGCTCACTCAGATCTAGTTGCATCAGAACATCACGAGAACGCTTGTACAGGCGCTGCTTGAGAAGCAGGCGCCACCAGTAGTATCGACGCTCGTCAGGGTCGTCTGTCTTGTACTTCTTGATCAACAACCGCGACATGTTGGCCCCGCCGGTCTGTCGGTTCTTGGGAGGAATCCGGCTCAGGAGGAACATTTCCAGGATGTGAGCGAACTGGGTAGGGGCGATTTTGTAGGACATGCGGATATCGTGGAGGAGTTTGATGGGGATAAGATCAGCAGTAGGAACGAGGCGTGGCCGTTGCTTTTTGGAGTGTGCTTCGTAAGGGTCGGGGTTGAGGTTCACTTTGTGCTTCGTGAATTCAGGTTGGAGGATGAGGTAGTCCGCTGTATCGCGAAGGGCGTCGAAAGCTTCGTTGGGGTCTTCGACGGTGAGTTCGACGATGGTCGGGTCATCAAAGCAATCGGTATGGATAGTAGTGTACAGATGAGTGCCATGGCCAGAGCCTTGGTGAGAGGGGAGAATCAGGAACTGGGCAATCCGCAGCCGGGACGGCAGCTCTGCAGGCCTGACTTTGTTCGGTGGGTAGGGCTCGTTGCTGACGGCAGGCGCTTGCGACTGGTCTCTCCTGTAGTGCCACCAGCGGTATGTCGTCGCATATCCAACGATAGAGTATTGCGAAGCAGTTGGCGTAGGAGGGGTCACCTTCTCATACCTGCATTCCGTCAGCTATCGCACGGGTAAAATTCGGAATGGCAACATACACAAAGTATACCGTCCATCTTTCCAGAGACCACTCGGGGTCCTCCGTGTCTAGAGGTGTACCGGCTTCGATGAACAAAGACACGAAGACCTGCGCGCGATCCAACAACCGTCGCACCGCGGGATCAGCAAGCGACCCAGCCCAGATCTCATATGTTCTTCCTCGAGTGACATAGTTGTGCACGCGCTTTCCGGGAGGTACAAAATCCTTCGCACTTTCGTCATTCTGAACGGCTTTCTCGTAGTCAGGGAGGTTGATGAATGCCTCTGAACATCGACAAGTTAGCTCACGTCATTCAGAAAAGCCATAGGATATACTCACCCTCCGGAACCCAAGGCTTGATGGTCTCCAGAAGATTCAATGGTTCTGCATCCTCGACCGCCTTGAACTTCTCATCGTAAGAGATGTGGACATGCGGACGAAGATCGTGAGCCGTGAAGCGCAACCGGATAATCAAGCCCTTGTAACCAAAGATCTGCTCTTCATCGCCAAAAATGGGGTATGTAAACTGCGGATGAAAGCCCGAAAGCGTCTTGGGTTTTTCCTGGCCGGGTTGCACAACGGTGATGTGCACAGCGTCATTCGCATCGCAGGACCCTATGTCGAGGCATTCCAGTTAGCTTGGCCATCATTTGGAGATTAGCGGGGAAATCGGAGAATAGAGAAGTACAATCGTCTTGACCAGACATCTTGTCGACGAATGGGCGCAGATTAATAGAAGCGTAGGTTGTATGAAGGTTGAAGGTGAAGGCGCAGACTTCTTTCCTCAGAAGCCGGCGATGGATGGCGCGCGTGGACCGCGTTGCGCGGAAGCACTGCTCAGTATGACCACTTCGGGCTTAGCTCCGTACTTGAGCAGCGGACATGCAAGCACTAGTTCACAACAAGGAAATATCTTTGGCAGGGCGAATTATAATTGGTGTCTGCTTGGATTAATTGCACACTTGTAAGTCGTAGCTTCCAGATGCAATCGTACTGTATGTGCATAATTAGTAATCTTGCACAAGCTTATCTGCATAAAAGCCTGAGCACAGTAGACAGTTATGATGTCACCTGATCCTACTATTTTTCATGTCTCACTGGTAATGATATTCAGAGCATTGTAAATTAGTGGAAAGAGAGGCTTGTTCTTGGATCAGTGAATGTGAATCGACTATGAGAATCTCGACGTCAATCCAATGCAGGAGTAGCCCGGAGTGTACGCCTCTTGATAGATAGAAGTAGAAATGATTTTAAGACTACGGAGTACGATTTTGTCATTAGTGAATTCCCATTAGCATCAACGGTCTTGTTGACAGGCTTTCAGGTACTCAAATACTCGAGGGTGTATAGCACGAAACCAATTATCATGTATAGAAAGGGTTTCACCACGCCGTTGTCAGTTGAACAGGGACACAGCAGGCTGTCGCATACAGGAACGCCGTTTAAACGATCGCTCTAGTTAAGCAGTAAAGTGGACGGGGCGCCTGGAACATCAAAATCAGCACCCAAGAGAAACACGTCTTTTTCACGCGTCAATCGACCGATAGGGGCCTTCTGGCACCTATAAACCACCATGGAGGCTCTGAGACCCCGTGGTGGTGGTATATCACACGCGTCACCCCCCGGAGTGGGCAACGTGGCCTCCCAATTCGCGGAAACACAAGATATGCCAGTCACCCCAACGCCAACCCGCTGGCGATCTGGGAACGCGAT